ATTTGTATTAATTATAAGGCGTTCTCAGCAAGGAATAGTTATTATACACATGATTAAATATGGTAGTTTAGAAAAGTCACCACACATTTATTATAATTAAGCTTACTTACTGCTTCCTCCAATCCTTAATATAAGAAGTAGATAAATCAAAACTAGAAGTCAGAGGACAATATATTTTATCAATAGGGTTGGATTAACAAAAGAGTTAGTTACTCACAAATTAATATTTGAATTTTCACGGTAAGAGGTATTTACATTTAGTTCTTTATAGTGCATCAAAATGAATGCTGCCCAATAAAAATATTTGCATCTATAAAAAAAATATAAAATACACAACAAAGTAAATCATCCAATTCACAAGTTGTTTTTCACTTTCTATAATACACGGGCAAACATTTTGACTTGTTTACCAACAACTATAAATCCGTTGCTAACTTTGAAAGGGACATCTCTTTGTAAACGAATTCATTTAAAAAGGGAAAAGCTTTTGCTGCTGCATTATTGTCACCTAATTCCTTTTTTCTTTAATAGAAGAAAATTTTTGTAAGTATAGGATACTACCTCATTAGTCTCCACCGGTTGTCGATTATCAGAACAGAAAAATATTTGTCATCATTAGAGTAGAAATAGTCTATGGGTGAACTTTTCATGATGAAGGTAAAAACTTTTCTTAAGAAAAAGAAAGTAGCGAGACTTGCTTGTCTCAACGTTCGGCATATGATAATCCTTTTTCTCTTTTAACTTTTTTTCTTTTATCTTAAAGGAGATTCTCTTCATAAAAATATCAATCAATTACTATACTAATAAAAAGATGAAACAAACATGTAATAATGAGGAAGCAATTATGATGTGTGAAATTTTTTTTAGATTAAGATCTCATTAAGATTATATATGATCAATTATAATAGTTTGACTGATCATTTATCTTATGTTAAAGAAGGGGGCCATGAGTTCTTCACTTTAGATTCACAATCTGATAATGACTTGTTTCCCTTTTATGCGGCATCGTGTGTGTTATTAATAGTGCTTTCTTACCATACTTTTATACTCTTTTTGTGGTTAATAATCAATCCAAAAAAGTCATTGTTATAGCAAAGTATATATAAACATATAATGATTCAGTCTCCCCCATACACTTGGTATAGTACAAAAATAATGATGAAAATTGTACAATATATTAAAAAGATTTTGTTTTTATTATACTTTATATATATTAGTATCTTATAAAAATATAATATGACGTAAGATATTTGGTGTATATTAAGCTGTGTATTTCATTATGAGAAAATGACAAATAAAGACCCCTAATATGTGACATGATTTGGGACCCTCAATTTGAAAAATGGTAAATAAAGACCCAGTCCCATATTACAAATATAAAATCTTGATGAAATGTCTGAAATATCCCTCGACCAAGTGACAAGTTGACTATGGGAAATGACAATTTCACTTTAGCGAATGACAATTTTAGTAGACCAAATCACAATTTGGCTGAGAGTATACCAAATGACAAATTAACTGTAAGAAATGATAAGTTCATTTTAGTGAATGACAACTTCAGTAGACCAAATCATACTCGCATAGCTGAGGGGTCTTTATTTGCCATTTTTCCTTTCATTATTCCCCCTATAGACTTGAATCCATTAAGGGTAAGAAAATTTTAACTTCTTTGGGTATTTTCTTTTGGATATCACTATGTTTTCCTGTACAACACATATGGGGCCTATTTGAATAGTAAATGAAAAATACTTATAAAACACAATTCAAATAAATTGAGACAATTTATTTTACATATTTATCTCATATTCTGTAAATGATGATTGAAAAGTTATTTATAAACTATTCTAAAGTCTAAACGGGTCCTTGATAGAATTATATCAAGCTCTTTAATTATACTTTATATAGGACACATGACAAAGTGTAATCAACGATTAGAGAACTTGACATAATGTTATAAAAAACTTTATATTTATCTAAGAGTTATCATTTTAGTTTGTTTATATATATATTGTTAATAATTATATGGATTTTTAATTTGTCTCTAATAAAATATAAAGGCTCTAGAAATTCATATATTTTAAAAATAATAAAATGATTTACTTCATATTTTTTCCGATATAATACACTTAATTTTGAAACGTTACGCTAAAAATTAAGAAAATAAATTATATTCGTGGAGGCACAAAAATGACATGGAGAATTACTATGAAGGGTAAAAAAAAAATCACAAAAACACATTAATGATAAGTTAGCAACAGTACATTTATTAAAAAGAAAAATAAAGTACACTGGAGGTTGATCCGATGAAATGTTAAAATATGAAGAGCACACGTCTATGCATCAATGGACATTGAAAAGACATATGTTGAAAATATTACCATCCAGGGACCACTTGTCTTGAGGAAAAACATATTTTCACATTAGTATTTGAGGTCCCACGGATGCTTTTAAATCTTTAAAAATAGACCAAGAATGTAATTTGATCAAAAGTTATTTAAAAATTAGGGTGAATAAGAGAAAATTCACTTGCAGTTTTAATTACATGATCATGATGTATTAAAATAGTTTTTCTATTATAACAACAGAAAAGTAAGTTTCTCTATAATTTATTTAACCGCTATTATCATGTTGGTTCTTATAGTTTGATCAAATTTTAACTATGTTCTCTACAATTTTTAAATAATTGATTTTGGTTCTTGTAAATTTTATAAACACTTGGTCCAAGTTTAACAATTGGTGTATATAATTTTAAAGAGTTTTAGTTTTTGACCCTATATTCAAATTCAAACCAAATCTTGATAAAATTATAGGGACCAAAACTAAAATTCAATTAAATTGTAAGGACCAATCCTAATAATACTGCTAACTCTTCAGTTAAACAAGGTCAATAGATCAAAACGAATTTTATGGATAGAGAAAATAAGTCAAGAAAATTGGCTCCGTTTGAATTTAATAATTAAACATCAAATGGGACATAATTGTTAAAAATTAGAATAAACAAAACCATACTTAACTCAAGTTTTATATATTCATTTTATCAAATTTTCCTGTTACATATAGTCATATGCTTTATTTTTAAAATATTATTATTAAACTATAAGCCCAAATGAAAAAAAAGAGAGGACGAATTGGCATGTGGTATTGGAAAACTTGATAATTGACATAATAGATATAAGAAACTTGATTTAATTATTTTATATATATGTGCTGAAAATTATTTTTTAGTACATTAATGGACTAATTTGAGAAGTAAATTATGCTAATAACAATTTATTATAATTTATCAATTTTTTAATATTTGATATTAATACTAAATTTTGAGCGTATGCCGATTGAATTGAATTAATTTTATTAAGTATGAGAATGTTAATGCTCGTTACAACACCGAGGCCTTCATGCATCATTCAAGTCATTTTCTCAATGTCCCTGTTTTTTTATTTTGGCCAGACTTAATGTCACATTTTGTATATAATTTATTAATTAATATTTATTATGAAACTACCAATTATTATATTCTAACGTGTGTGCAAATCACTAGTTAATAATATCCACCCGTGACACAGCACGTGCTAATTAACTACCCAATTTTGCACGCATAATAGCTAAAATTATTTCCCTAAAAATACAAGCGATAAGTTATTTTATATAGAATTTATTATTCCGTGTAAATTTAAATTTCTAACAACAATTTTTTTCTTAAATGGAACATAAACTTTTTTTTTACAATTATTATAAATTAATTTTTCCATTTCATTTTAAGTCCTATATATACCCATGTTGTTTCCATGTTGTTTCATTATTCACATGTATATATACCTTAGTATTTAGGAAATGTTAATGAAATTTTTATTAAAAAATGGAGAAATTAGGTTGAAAGTTTTCAATTGATTGTCTTTCATTCTTGATCTCACATATTTATTAAAATGCTATAGCCCCATTTAAAAATCTATTTTATTAAAAAAATGAATTTATTAAAATCTCTCTGTCTCTCCTCTCAGAATGAAGCAGTTGATTGATGTTTTCGGCGTATTACTCAGAGTATAAAATCTAGTTAATTTGTAAATTATGATTAATGTTTTTAATGAAAGTATTTATTGAGTTGGATCTGGAAAATTTAATAGGACAATGATAAACTTACAACTGAAAAAGTATTTCTAAAATTATTTACAAATTATCTATTTTTAAATATTTTTATAAATGCTAAAACTTGAATTCACATTTTTATTCATGGATCAATCTCTATGAGCAAAATTTAATCTTGGTTCTATGTATTGTACATATACGATTCGATCATTAGAAGCAAAATTGTATATAGCTATAATAACTTAATAAACCAAAAAAAAAAAAATACAGAAGAAGACATGTCTTGGCTTTTTGGTGTTTTTAAAATTTTGAATATGCTTTCATTTGATGCACTCTTTATTGAATAATATTCCCAAACGATGTCTGAAATTTTATTTTTTTTATTTTTATCCCTCTTAATTATATATTATATCATTGTATTAATTATATATTGTTTACAGATTTATTATCTGTAATGAGTCTAAACTAATTTTTTGTCCAAACAAAAGTTTAAAATAATTTTTTAATATTTAATAATTATAAACATTAATAAGATATTCCTACTATTCAAGTCCCTGGTCCAAGGTGACTGAAAAATGAAAATTACTCAGCTAAAGTTTATTTGACTACAACTTCGTAACGTAACTCAGAAAAGTGAACACAACACTCACATGAATGAGATGAACAGAGTCCACAAAGTGACAGCCAACAACTCAAAAAGAGTCCAAAACGAATAAAACCAAATAAAACGGTCCATTCTCTCATCGCACTATTTTTTCTTCTGAGAATAAACAAAACGTTCAAATTCACACCTCCCAAGAAGGTTTTGCAGATTCTCTACACTTCTACTCCAGCTATTAATACTCCCTGGCACATACTCTCTCTCTCTTCCCCATCTCTCTCTCTCTCTCTCTGTTTCTCAAAGCTTTTCCGTTTCTTCTCTCACCAAAAGCAAGCTGCTTCCGTTGATTTTGTTTCCGGGTTCACTCTGTATTCCCGAATCTGGATTCTGGAAAGGAAGAACTGGGCTAAGGGTTTTCTCTCAGCTTCAGATAAAACAGTCCTTGGTGAAATTGACAACAAAGTTTTTGTGCTTGAGAATGGAGTGAGAGCCACTGAAGAGTTGTTCTCAGTCTTCTGTTCATTCTTGTGGAGGCATTCGATTTATTGGGGTTCTTTGTTTTCGTTTTTTTCCCACTTAAAACCCAAATGGGGAAGATTTTTTGGGCAAATATAATAGTTTTGTTTTGCTTGGGGGTGTTTCTTGTACCTTGCTTATGCCAGGACGATTCAGATGAACCAACTACGGCTGTGTACATTGTTACTTTGAGACACACTCCTTCTTCTCATCACTTCAGCGAGTTCAGAGTTGGTAAGAACTTCGAACATGGTGCTTCAGAGAGAACTACATTTCACAAACCAAGGTACCCTTCTTTCTGAAATTTATATTACAAGATTTACCAAAAGGGGCTTGGACATTGATTTTCTTTCTTGCTTTCCACCTGTTCGATCTCTTTTTTATGTTGTTGATTAGTCTCTCTGTACAGTGCTTAATTTTTTTTATTGATTTCTGTGCTCTTGTTTCGCACTCTGTCTTTCTTTCTAGAGCAAATCGAGGTATTTCACGCTCTGTTGGATTTCTTTTTAATCATTGAGGCTTCTTGAGGAAGTCGATTTTAGCATAAGAAGTGGATTTGATTTTGTTAACACTTGAATGATAGTTTATGAACTATAGGAGGTCATTACCTGAATCCTTGAGTATGGGATACTCATCGAGAATTTGTTGGATTCGGATCATGAGATTCGCTACTAATGTTCTTGGTGCTTTTAACCTTCTGTTCTGTCGCCTCTTTTTCCTTTTTTCGTGACTTTTGTGAAATGAAGTGCCTTAAATTGATCGATTTGCACTTTTTGTTTTATATATATTTAGAAATATTTCCAGGAAGCACAAAAGATTTGGCTCTCATATCGCCAGAGTTCACGATTCATTGTTGAAGAAAGTATTGAGAGGGGAAAAATATCTGAAGCTCTACAGCTACCACTACTTAATCAATGGATTCGCCGTGCTGGTCACCCCGCAGCAGGTTTTATATGAGTCAATTCTGATCAAAATAATTAAGAATGGTGTTTTTGTTCTTTGTAACATAATATATATTTCGTTTCATATGCATTTAGTTTACTGTTTTTCTTTTGTGCTCATTTGTTTTTAAATTCCTTTTCTTATTGCTGTCGCTGTTATATCTTTAACGTTTGAAATCTCTGAATCCTGCAGGCAGACAAAATAGCAAGTAGAAGAGAAGTTTCGAATGTGGTCTTAGATTTTTCTGTAAGAACCGCAACTACCCATACTCCACAATTCTTGGGTCTGCCACTGGGTGCATGGTCTCAAGAAGGCGGGTTTGAAACTGCTGGAGAAGGAGTTGTTATTGGGTTTATTGATACCGGAATTGATCCAACACATCCTAGTTTTGATGATAGGAATTCTGAACATCCGTACCCCATTCCTGCTCATTACTCCGGCCTCTGTGAGGTTACTCGAGATTTCCCATCTGGTTCCTGCAATAGGAAGCTTGTTGGGGCCCGTCATTTTGCAGCATCTGCTATAACCAGAGGAATATTTAATTCATCTCAAGACTATGCTTCTCCTTTTGATGGTGATGGCCATGGCACGTGAGTTTTTGTCAAAATTCCACTGTGATTTATTTATCATTTATGTTTCTTTGTAGTTTGCCATGTTCCATGTATTAATTTGATGCATGATGAGAAAATGCCTTTTTCTCAGTTATCTACTGACCTTTATTTTCTTTAGAAAAGGTATCATAACTTTCACTCTATCTGTTCTTCTGTGCCATCCTTATGATTTTCAAGTATTTGTACTCTTAAGCTTCTGTTCTAGATTTTGTAAATTAATGGATATTCTTTCCCTTTTGTTTGAGATTCAAGTGTTGAAAGTTAACTTGTATTTTCATGCGAGGCTGTAGATTATTTATTTCTTTGGATGAAAGAGCAATTGATTATCAAAATATTGCACTTCAAAAACATAGATGTTAATTATTCTAATTGATTTTCACTTATCTTTTTATTGGATGGCTGTTCTGACCCCTTACACGTCTACTATTTACAGGCACACAGCTTCTGTTGCAGCAGGAAACCATGGAATTCCAGTGGTAGTTGCTGGTCATCACTTTGGAAATGCTAGTGGGATGGCTCCTCGTTCACAGTAATTAATTTTGAACTTTATCTTTGTTACAATTCTTGTGGCTATTATCGTCAATCATCAACGTTTGGAGTCCCAATATATTAATCATCACCAATAATTAATCATTAGTAAGATCTATAGCAAGCTGCATTATTCATATAGTATGTATAGTACGGTTCATTTCTTGGACTCTATGCAAATGCATAGGAAAATATGTCTAATTATTGTTATACTTATTATGATGGTGATTGATAATCTAGTTAATATGTTAGTGGAATCCTCTATGATAACCTAAAGAATTTGCTGCTGGAGTGTTTTTATTGCGGGACTGAGCATAAGTAATACCACATTATATGTATTGTTTTGCATTGTACAGATTAATTGGACATGTCTATGGTTTCATCTTTTTATTTCAGAGGTGTAATTACCACTTTCTCTGTTTTAGTTGAGATGGGATTTTGACTTGTGACTTCTTTTCGGTCCAAGAAAACTGAAGATGGGACATACTTTTCTCAAACAATTTCATGTATTAGTTAAAGTAGTATAGTACCGTTCCTATTTTATAATTAAATCTTGAATCAATTTTAGGATTACATATTTCAAATTGAATAGTAATGGGTTTGTTAAAAATTAATAGACACTTGAGGTTATGAAAATTGAGAGGGAATAAATGAAAGCTCCCCTTTGAAGAGAAAATGCAAGCCAAGCTGGTCAGAATCAAGGAAGAAAGAAGGAATTAGTTTGAGAGGATGAGACAGAATTGGCCAAGAAGCAGAGTTAAAAATTTGGGGAAAATTCGGTGAAAATACCTCGAGAGTTAAGACATGGTGTAGTAAAATGGGAAAAGAAAGACTCAGTTCCTTTTGCCTCTGACTGGAGGTGTGCCCCATTTGGAAGAAAGAAGTGAGGACCCTATCTTGTGCTTTGTCTGAGAACTTAGGCTGGCCATGAGTGTCTCAGCACCTTTTGAGGTTGACTGGCTTTATGTATTGGATAAGTCAGGGTTCTTTCCTTCTCACTTTACCTTATTCACATAATCTTCCCTATGTTACTCCAAATTTTTTGTCTTCTTCCGTAAGCCTTTCCTGTGGCAAGAATTTGTCATGTGCACTGTGGAGTGTGTCGTCCCCCATAGAATTTATCTCCGCATAACTTGATATTCTGAGAGTAACAAACGAGTTCAGTCATTTTTATGCTATCTGACTTCGAAAAATTGAAAGGTTAAGTAAACATTGTATGAAAGGATTTTTATTTTTAAAAGAAATTGGAGTTGCATGTATTTCATGAAAGTGTCATAAGTTTTCTTTCTGTTATTGTAACATTTAATTTGCACTCCAATATTTTCCAGCATTGCTGTTTACAAGGCATTGTACAAGAGTTTTGGAGGATTTGCTGCAGATGTTGTTGCGGCTATTGACCAGGTACATTATACATGGCTAGGGATGAAAATGACACATTGTTGTACAAACTATTTATGTACTAGGATGTTTGGTGATATTACGTCAGAAGTTGACGTATTTTTTCTTTCTATTAGTCATCTGACCTGGTTCTTTCATATTCAATTTTGAATAGATTTCTGGTAAGGCTTAAAGTAATTTGATTGATTGTTTACAGGCAGCTCAGGACGGGGTTGATGTTGTAAGTTTGTCAATCACTCCTAATCGGCGTCCTCCCGGTGTGGCAACTTTCTTCAATCCCATAGACATGGCATTGCTGTCAGCTGTAAAGGCTGGTATTTTTGTTGTGCAAGCAGCAGGTAACACTGGACCGTCACCAATGAGCATGGCCTCCTTCAGTCCATGGATCTATACTGTTGGTGCTGCCTCTCATGACCGAACATATGGCAATGCCATGGTTCTTGGAAATAATGTGACCATTCCAGGAGTTGGACTTGCACGTAAGTTTTTTGTATTATCCTAGTCTTATTTGCTAACTTAACTTCTGGACCAACTCCCATGGGAAACGAAATTTGGCCTGAGTCTTCAGAACCAAATCTACGTAAGCTCATTGATTGGATTTCTTCTTTGGATTCCTGTTAATACTACCATAGGTCTTCCAATGAGTCTACCCCATAGATTCCCATTGATGATCGGATATTCTTTGATTTTTGAATGGTTTTAACATTTGTCTTTAACATAAGAATTATTAATTGATCATGAGTGTAGAATGCTTATGTGGATCCTATTTTCCATGGAAAATAAGAAATTTCTGCATAGGATAGCGCTGGAAATGGTTAAAAATTCTCTTGGGGATTGTCTTTGTTTACAGTATACGCGATTCTAGAATGGCAATAAAAAAAAAAAAGAAGAAGTAAAGAACTTGTAAATTATTTTAAGGATTATTTGAACGGGAGAAACAATTATAACTATGGAAGGGGTGTATGCAGACGCATCTCTACAAAAGTGGGTTAAACCTTCTGTTGGAGTCAGATGATAATGAAAATGTTCTGTACAGTCGGGAATCTTATAATCTCAAGAGATACAGTTGTTCCTGAATGTTTTCTTGTTAAGAATTCTACCGATTCTCTCAAACATGGTTCTTGGTTTTGCTATGCAGATATTTTTATTGTATATTTGTATACTGTTAGTGGTTTATGTGATGTTCTCAAACATCTGAGATCTAACTTCGATAGTGTCTAGACATTGACCAACCAGTTCCTGTTGTTTTAAAGGATATATTTCTTTTTGGTCCATTATGTTATGTTTTTCAAGTTAATCCATTACTTTTGGCTTAATTTGTAACTGATGGGATTGGTTTATTACCTTTCATTTTCCTAATATGTTTTTTTCCTTCTCCAGCAGGAACAGATGAAAACCAAATGTACAAACTGGTTCATGCCCGTCATGCTTTGAAAAATGACTCAAGCATTGCTGGTGATATGTATGTGGCCGAGTGCCAAGATGCAAGTAATTTTGATCAGGATTTGGTGAAGGGTAACCTCTTGATGTGTAGCTATTCAATACGCTTTGTGCTTGGCCTCTCCACCATCAAACAGGCGTTAGAGGCAGCCAAGAACCTTAGTGCAGTTGGTGTCGTCTTCTACATGGATCCTTTTGTGATTGGCTTTCAGCTTAACCCAGTTCCATTGAACATGCCTGGCATAATAATTTCATCCACAAATGATTCCAAGGTTCATTGCTTATTCATTCTCATTTCTCGTCCTTAATTCTTGAATATATTGTGTGTGTGTGTGTGTGTGTGTCCTGTTGCCCTTGGGCTCGGAATTGTATGAAACCGTTTTTATGCACCTTATGTTATGTCGGAATCTCAGTTGGCTTTCACCAGTTTGTTCTAACTCGCATGCTTATAGGCAGACTTATGCACAACTTGATGCTTACTTTCTACCTGTTATTGACAGAGTTTACTGCAATACTACAATTCTTCATTGCAAATAGATGAAATGTCAAAAAGGGTCACTAAATTCGGTGCCGTTGCTACTATCTGTGGTGGACTAAAAGCAAATTACGGTATTGTTGCTCCAAAGATTATGTATTATTCTGCCAGAGGGCCAGATCCAGAAGACACTTTTCCTCATGAAGCTGAAATTCTGAAACCCAACTTGGTAGCTCCTGGAAATTTTATATGGGCTGCCTGGAGTTCCCGTGGCACTGATTCTGTTGAATTTCTTGGTATGTAATAAGACTCACAAATTTCAACCGGAATATATAAATGTAGGAAAGTTTTAATTGATTGTTTCGGTCTCTATTACATCATAAGCATGACCTCTCATTAGACTAACAAAAACATGACATGGAATGTGAATATCAGGTGAGAATTTTGCTTTGATGTCTGGCACAAGCATGGCTGCTCCTCATGTAGCTGGTCTTGCAGCGTTGATTAAGCAAAAGTTTCCTAATTTCAGTCCTGCAGCCATTGGATCGGCATTGTCCACTACAGCTACTCTCTATGACAGAAGTGGCGGGCCAATAATGGCACAGCGATCTTATGCCTCCCCTGAGCTAAATCAGTCTCCAGCAACTCCATTTGACATGGGAAGTGGATTTGTTAATGGAAGTTTGGCATTAAGTCCCGGCCTGATTTTTGATTCCAGTAAGTTACTTGATTAGCATTTTCGACATCAAAACACAGAAATGCATTTGCCATGTTTAAATTCAATGGAAATGGCATGAAAAATCATTGATGGTTTTGCTTAGCTTGTTATAAAACATGCATGCTAGAATAAGTATATGATACTATTCCTAAATTTGTTCATTTGTTACTAATCAGGGTGTTCAGTAAGATCATGATGGGATGTACTTGGATCTTCAAACAAATGCGTTAAGAAGTGCTAAATTTTCCTTTGATAAGTGTTCAGTGTTGATAGTTGAGGAATCACTTCTTGTGGAAAAAATTACATCAGTTGAAAACTATATGCACCAAATAAATTGCACCAAAGCCAATCCAAACTCGCCAGATTTCAACCAAACTAGTCTTACGTTTAATTAAAATTGGGTTTGGTTAGATTTTGGGCTAAAAAATCCCAAAATCTAACCAAATTGAACTGAGCCTGCGAACACCTCTAGTTAAAATTCCAAGTATCGAAAATTAATATATTTTAAAGCAGATTTGGCATCTACCTATTCTCTGAACTTAATTTTTTTTCCGCAGGTTATGATGATTACATGTCATTCCTATGTGGTATAAATGGATCGGCACCAGTGGTGTTGAATTTCACAGGCCAAAACTGTGCTGTTTACAACTATACTCTTTATGGTCCTGATCTGAACTTGCCTTCCATCACAATTGCAAGGCTAAACCAATCAAGAGTGGTGCAGAGAACAGTTCAAAACATTGGTGGGAACGAGTCTTACAGCGTTGGATGGTTTGCTCCCTATGGGGTTTCAGTGAAAGTGTCTCCAACTCACTTCTATATAGGCAGTGGAGAGAAGCAGGTCTTATCCGTGTCCTTGAATGCAACAATTAACAGCACTGCTGCTAGCTTTGGGAGGATTGGACTGTTTGGAAATCAAGGTCATGTTGTGAACATTCCTGTCTCGGTCATTGTTAAGATTTATCAGAATCTTACTATGAGCTAACCCTTTGTCTCCCTAGTTTTTGAGTTTCCTCATTTTGAATTTTTTTTTTTTATCATGCAATTTTTTCATTCATTATCATGTAAAGTATTTAAGAATGTGGTTGTAAATCTATAGACGTATAATCATTAGTAATAACGTCTGACACCTGAGTTCATCCATCACCATTAAGAGTTAGCCTTTTGGTTTGGATTCCCATGGTCAATTCTATTCAGTGTTGTTACTCTTAATTACAATCCCATTGTGACAGAAAGCTCACATTGTAGTAGTGTGTGTGTGTGAGAGAGAGAGAGAGAGAGATGATCGATGTAGGATATGTTAGTGAGATTTTTGATGCAGGGTGGGAGAGGTGAGAGAGAGAGAGACAAGAGGGGGGGAGAGAAAGCAAGGAGGGAGGGGGAAATTAGATAAGGGAGAGATACTAGAAAAACAGGTGGGGTGGCCCGTTTAAGCCTGAGTCCCAAAAATGATCAATATTTTCAAGCCCAGCCTGTGAGATGACGGGCTCGGGCTAGCTTGCGGGTTTTTTGGCCCATTTAACTAAAATATTTTTTTCCATTTTTTTAATATATTTTATCAAAATAATAAAAATGAAACAATAAAATTACTAATAAAAGGTATAAATATAAATAAAATTAAGTTATAAATATAAATATTATTATGTCTAAACATCTATCACAGTGTAATAGAGTCTATTGAATAAACAAACTAAATAGAAGAGATATAGACAACTAAATAAGTACTAAGTTCAGTAAATAATTACAATATGGATGATCTGGTTTGATTATAAATAATTAACAAAAAAGTTTAACTAACCAACATAGTATACATAAAACATAATCATTTATCCTACTTACAAAAAAGAAAAAATCTTATCATCCCTAGTTCTAAATTCGTCTTTAACTATAAAAATAATATAGATCTTCACTTTAATTCAAAAGATTTTTTAATTAATTCTATTTCAAGCATTAAAAAATATAGAAGAATGACAAATAAAGATCGTAAAAATTACACCTACTATATTTTAACTGGTTTTAACTGGTTTTGATAGCTTATAAATAGCAACATATTTTTGTGGATATACCTAGTTTTAAATTTTGTAATTTTCATCTTTTTTGTTGTTGTTATTTTTCCAACAACTATAGTGATTCTTTTTTTTTTTTTTGGTGAATGCTGTCTATGTGAGCTGTTGGGGTGAGTAAAATCAATAGTGTGTTATGTGTAAAATGTTACACTTTTCTTTTTTAGATTGAGAAAAAAAATAGAAATTAAAAAAAAAGTTGGTGGGCTTAAACGGGCCAACCCGTTTATTTTTCAGCCCTTCAAGGTTGGTCCTTTTAAGCCCAACTTCCTTTCAAGGCTCTAAAATACAAACCCGTTCTCGACTTAAACGGGCTTAAACAGGCCGTCCTATTTTTCCAGCTCTAGGAGAGAAGAGAACCCAGAGAGGACAAATATAATTCTTATTCAGTTCATCCCAAAGGCATTTAAAAAATGAGATGTGGCCTGTTTGGATAACATAGATAACCTTGGTTTTGGAACCTAAACCATGGTTTGGGTCCTAGATTTGCCAAACACCCAAGAAAAAACAGAAACCATGGTTTTGGGCCAAAACCATGGTTTCAAAAAAAGTGAATCTATTCTGCTTCTAGCTCAAATTGGAGAGTATGATTATACCTGTCAGAGTAGATCTCAACGATAATATGACTTTAACACCCCTTAATTATTTTTTATAAACATATTTAATTTAATATTTTATAAATATATATACACATATTAATTATATTATCTTATATTTATCAATTATGTTGGTAAAAAATATATTATTAACAATTTTATTTCTTCAATTAAAATATAATATAAAATTATCTTTTATGTAATTATTATATTAACTTATGCCTTTTTTAGTAATTTGTACACATAAAAGTACTTCTGATAACAACTATCTAAGCACTCTCATTTTATCATAATCACTTTTTTACAAAATCTATTCTCTGAAGAATTTATTTTCCAGAAGCTATTCTCTAAACCATGGTTTGGTTCCATCCAAACACCCCCGAAATCTATTTGTAGTTTCAACCCTAACTAACTTTAGGAATTAAAAAGGGAACATTCTAAAATTCTAAAATTAAATGAAAATAGCAATTAATGATAAAACATAACAATCAAATCAAAATTAAGACAATATTTCCTAATAAAATTAAGGGTTAATACAATCTTTGTTCTTTTAAGTTTGCATTTATTTTGGTTTTTGTCTTTCATGTTTCAAACCATAGGTTTTTGTGCTTTAAAAAACAAAATAGTCAAGTTTTTATTAAATTATAAAGATAAATGTTTTAGACAAAAAGAAACTTGAGGAATCAAAATTTATGATTTGAAATTTAATAGACTAAAATCAAAATGAAGACAAATTTAAAGAAACAAAATTGTATAAACCATAAAATAAAATACCTAAAATATCTAAAATTTTAATTAGTCATTATTTCATGGACTATCAGATTTACTTCTCTGGAACAGGGTGAATTTGGAAAGAGAGAGAAAAAAATAATGATTACTATAAAATTATTAAGTGGAAATTCGAGGGGACTCTTTACGTTCAATTTGCCAATAAAGTTCATAGATGAGATCCATAAGCTAAATGTGAGACTCACTTGTCCTTTCCCATCTCTTTTCCTCTCGACTGGAGTGATTTGAAGTTAAGTCATGTTAACGCAGACAATTTTATCAAAATTCAAAATGACATGTTCATATTGTTTATTTTCAAAATTATGATTTGCCGAGCTCGGCAATACTGGTTTGTGACTCAAGTCAAAGCATTATTAAATTTTTTTAGAAAATTGAATTATTGAAGATAATTGCAATTTTATGTTTTTAATTTGTTTTTATTATACTTTCAATAGATTATATTTAAGTATAGGATCTAAATTTTAATAAGTCGACTTCAAATTATCATAAAAAACTTGCTACTACTTCTGCTCCTTAATATATGACTTAGTTGGAAATTATATTTGATCCTAAATATAATATTTTGTCTCTCAAATTTATAATATTTTCTCTAAAACATCCCTATTGATTATAAGGGGTTTTCACAAGGAGATTATTTCAATGCATAATTAAATAGAATAATTTAGAAAAGTCGACACAAATTTGTTACAATTAGCGAACTTAACTAACTTTTTAAGTCTCCTCAAATTAGGTATCTAGCTCCCCAAGTAGTATTAGTTATTGGAAGTAAAGCTTGATTATATGTTTTGGTCAAAACTAACTCAATATCAAACGCACATTTACTAGAATAGCTATCACACATCCTATGTGAGAGGTAATTCAATTCTTCTCTTTTTTTGGCTTTTGGGATGAAAAGGGATAATTCAATTTTTTTACAAGTAGAATCCCATAAAAAAGAAGCTTGAAATTATTAAATCCTAAATAAGAAATTCCTGTAAAAATAAGTTGTTATCTGCAAGTTAATTATTATTAAAACCTATTAAAGTGTGAGAACTAAATCTACTTTGAAATTTAGTAATTTTAATATTTTTTTGTGTGGGATTCTCCCCTTTGTAAAGTCATTTTTAAAGTTTAAACTCAAGTGAAATAGATAGAGAAATATTGCAAAATTAAAAATAAATTGATATATAGAGTTTTTTAATATATAAAATGACAATTTATTAAATGCTAAGTAAAACAATGCATGCACGCTAAAAACAAGGAGAGGAGCTCGAAACAAAAATGTTAGCCCAACTAGAACCATGATATCACAATATAGTAGACAAATACAAGTAGAGGGTGATCACATGCAAGGTAAGGACTGAGCCCACCTACAAACCAGCCACCTCAAATAACCATACAGGTCCTGTAAATCTCAAAAGACAACAAGCCAACTATAAGAGCAGAACTCTAGAACTAGAAATGTGGTGCAACGACCTTAAAAAGCCATCAAATGTTGGAGCAACATGATCCAAGAAACCAAGGAGGTTCTCAAAGACCTGAACCAGAAAATGAAAATAACTTAAAACCAACGTCAGACACCGCATCATGAAGGATGAGACAAGAATGAAATGCGTAAAGGAGAAAGTTGAAAGAAATAAGAAAAAAAATTGCACAAAATTTAGAAGAAGTTACGTTGTTAATGACTTGTCAATAATTCATATCCCTATGAACTTTATATTTTTTCATGAAACTATCTTGTATTTGGCATTTTAACATTTTAAAAAATGTTTATCTTAGAGTTTGATGCTTTTCTTAAGATGATTTTTTATTGCCTAAAGAAAACGGAAAAACAGAAATGTCGTAGTAGAAAATTATGTTTTGAAGACAAAAACTTCCTTAAAATGAAAAAAATTACCTAAGTCTAAAAAAGCATGTATATTGTTTTAACTCTAATCATTTTCTTTCAATTCATATATATATATATATATATATATATATATATAAGGGGAAGTTGTTATTTTCTTTCAATTCACACACGCATATATATTTCACATTCACATTCAATAAGGGGAAGCTGTTATTATGACTAACCAAAGCCTTAATTTTTAAAGGCCGCAATATGGGTTGCTAATGTGATTCTTTTACAAGAAAATGCAACAATAAGAGTTATTCTCTAATAAAAGAGTTAGTGGATGAGTTTATTTTGATAATACATATAACATTCAATCCGGATGAGTTTATTTTAATTTGATAATACATATAACACTCAATCCACTTTGTTTTTTTAAATTTATATTTTTTTCCGGAGCTCTCTATTAATTACTCATATTTATAGGGTTTCTCACCAAATGAATAATAGTTTTTAACGCAAATAATTAAAAGGGTTGGAAAAATAGCACATATTTTTTTACAAATAATTAATTAAGTTAATTTTCTTAATCTCTCACTACTATAATAAAGGTTTTTTAAACTAGTTAAAATGGGTATTTTACACCAAAGTCACGCCAAGTGTAGAAATGACCAGTTTTAAAAGTTCTCACCTTTCACAACGATTTTATAATTGATGTAGAAAAGTCAACATTTTAGACCAGTTATAATGCCAACTAGTGTGCCAAGTCAACATTTATTTTTTCAAGGTTTATTTCTCTTGCTTGTTTTCTCTATTTCACCACTTCCAAACGGTAAATGATTTTTGAGTGTTGAATTTCATGAATGTAATTTAACCTGATGTCTAGTTGAAGTTGAAGGTA